AAATTTTTATACTCTTGGTTAAGTAACATAAATTCTATAAAATAATAAAATTATCCTTTTGGTTCTATTTTTTCTGACTTTTTCTAAGCCTTTTAATAATTCTTGTGATTTAAGTTTTAATTGTTTTTTAGTTAAAAAAGTTAAAATAGTTCGCAATTTCTACTCACTGTGCGACTGTTGCAAATCACTGGAACAAGTCTGCGTCCCCCCCGACACCTTAACCTTGGTCCTAGGCACTGCGGACACCGACGCCGTTTTCCCCGCCTGATTCTGCAAAACTACACCCCCAATTACACCCCAATCACCCCCAAAACTCCACAAACCTTGGACTTGTGGCGCTGTCCCGTTTGGTGTTCCATTGGTTGCATTGCTAGTCGAACTGCTCCTTTTCACGTACCCGAAACTCTGAGGTACTCCTCGCACCTTAGAGCTCTTCTCTTTGCTGCCGTGGGGGCTGCTGCGACGCTCTCTTCGGCTGCTGGTGGGACTCGAGGGGGCTGGAGCCGGTGGTGGAGGACTGCCTACTCCTGGTGAATCCGTGTAGCGCTTCCATTGGCCGTGTTTGGTGTCTTGTAAGGCAACGCCGTTGCGGGAGGAACGGGAGGCGGCGCGAGGTGCAGGAGGGGGAGGGGGCTCCTCCACGCGCCCCCGCCGGGAGGACTGCTCTGTCAACACGGTGAGGCCGGGCGAAATTCGCGGTGTGCTGAAAAAAAAATTCAACTAACTTGTTGGAACTTTTCAACTATTGTGAAAATTTAATCTGTTCCGTCGACTGTACTTGAAACTAGTCCAATTAAAATATCTTAGCTAATTAAGAGTACAACGAGTTAGAAATTGGTAACAATTTATCTTGTTTAATGACTTTGCATGTAACAAATGTATTAATCATATTGATGAGTCAAGAAAATTAAATTAGATAAATGTACATGATTGAATTAATTAAATTATGAAGATAGATTTACAGAAAACGCCTTGTAGTTTCCTTACGGTATGATAAATGGCTAAACGAATAATAAACACAAATTGTGTTTTATTTTTGTCTCTGTAGTAACATTTTCTTTTATCTTCGATTAATAGTGGGAGACATATCACGTAAGTAATAAGATATTTCCGGGCTGAAACCTCTTTTGGCGAAGTTAGATATTGACCTAAACTTTGATTGAAAGAGATATCTCAGTCAAAGGAGAACGAAAATGCTATTTCTAAATTGGAACTGATCATAAAAAATTCTCCGATGTCAACATTCTTTCTTATTTTGATGCAAAGAAAAAAATCTTTCCACACAAACAACATAAAAAAATATTTCAGTTATTAAAAAAATATATTTTATTAATAACTTTTTTTATCAGTTTTATACAAGAACAGTTTTTTTTCGTTTATAAAAATTAAATCGTAAAAAATTCAATTTTAATAGTAGATTACATACCGAGATGGAAGGTGCTTCATTACCAAGGTAAAATTTGATCACCAAAATAGCCATAATAAGAGGTACGACCATCAATAAGATTTGTAAACTATTTTATTCACAATCATCCTCCTTAAAGAACAAACCCAATAAAGAGTTCTAATTTTGAAAAATATGACATATGACAGTTCAGGTTGGAAAGTGGCCATTTCCTAACTTAAACTGTTACTTTATATCAATTGTTAAAAAGAGTGTATAATCAAAGCTACATCCAATTTATTATAAGCTTATTTACATTAAAAAATGTATTGATAAAATTTGAGGTAAATTCTGTTTAAAAAATTGTTTTAAAAAAGAAAAATGTTTCAAAATTTAATGACATTACAAATACAAGTATGTTACGAACTACAAAAAACTGACTTAATGTTAAGAAAATTATGAAGTAAAGTAAAAAAATAAGTAAATAAGGATTAAAATAGAAAGCAAATAATTATAGGTTAGAAATCTACTTATACCGAAAATAGAAAAATTGTCACTGCAGGTTTTGAAGTCAAACAAGTATCAGAGATGAACTTTACAACAAAATATGTAATTAATTAGAGTTAGAATAGGATAAATTTAAGACCAAAAAGTTCCAGTATTAAAAAAAAGAGTAGATGTGTTGAATTCATAAGTGATGGTCTATTTACAATTTTTTGCTGTCTATTTTAATCTGCACTCTAAAAGAAAAGTAAAACTGCATATATAAAGGTTTTTTTATTATGGTTATAGGTATTTCAATAATGTTTTCTTAAAAAAAATATTTTTTGCAAGTTATTGTAATAAAATGTCCTTTACATCTTTAAAATCACGATTCTCGCTGTGTCATATTTCGCAAAAATCATAAAAATTATTATGCAGAGTGTAACAAACAGATTTCTTACTTCTCCGAAAATAACGTAAATTTTAGTTTTACCTAATTTTTTAAAACTTCCATACATTTTTTTCAAAAAATGTTTTAAATTCAACTAAATGCTTTAAATTTTTGGTTTTTAGTAGAAATATGTAAAAATAGCTATTAAGCCAACAAGAGTTTTTAAACTTTAAAATTTTTTCCAACACGAATATTGAATCAGAAATTTTGCTAAATTATAAGTTATATTGAAAATTGTCAAAATTGACAAAATGCCATGTGATTGACGACAGACTTTATAGAAGAGCGTATAATAAGGGCAACATAGGAGGTAAGCTTAAACGCACCATAGAAATAATATAAAATATTAGTGTTAGAAAAAATTATAAAACCATTTGGTTTTTAGAGCCTGTTAGTATGAAAAAAGTAAAACATACAGGGTGATTCAGCTTAAATGACCCATTAGACCCCTCTTGGCAGACAACCTATAATACAAAAAGCAATTATTCCTTGATTCATATTCGAATTTTGAAAGTTTCATGAATCGAAAAATATCGTTCTTTGATTCTCGATATTTTGAAAATTTAATTTTGAATCAAGGAATAAGTGCATAATGTATTATGTGTTGTCTGCCAAGAGGGGTCAGGTGGGTCATTTAAGCTGAATCACCTTGTATAATATGTATACATTTTTTTCAGTTGAGTTTAGTAGAAAGTTTGGTAGGTAGATAAAAAGTAGATCAAAAACAACTGTTCTATACTATACTATATTCTTAATTGCACAAAATTGGAAAAACGTTTTCACAAAGCGTGTAATTAAAAAATCAGCATTTTAGCTGTAAGTTAACAAAATAAAAACAGACTCAAAAATCAAGTTTATCACAGACCCAATATTAAGCTGTGGTTGATGAAATTTCAAGAAAATATAGATACCTTTAGTAATTAATCCTCCAAATTTTCCAGAAAACATCAAAATTTTATTTGCCCTCTTCTGAGTGTTTTCCTTTTAACCTAATTTACTTATCTAAAATTTTACAACCGCACCACCACAAAATCCCCCTTTCATGATTCTTCCGCTCACGAAACTAAACCAACACTAAACCCGACCATAAACCACCAAAAACACCAAATCAACAAGATCATCGGCCTCGTAAAAAACTGACTTAGGCCTTACAATAAACAATACAAGTAGAGAGATAAGCCAAGAGCTTTCCAATAAAAATTCATAGTGACGAGCTTTCGTTAAAAAATCTTAATCGACGTGGAAGGAAGCAATTTTTGTGTGAAAACATGCAAATCAATACAGTGTCATTAGTGCCATCGGAAATGTTTCCGGCGGAAATACCGACAATGGTATCTCGATAACAAGTCTAGTGTCTCTCGTCTATAACCCAAACAGCGTTTAATTAATATTTAATGAAACATAAACATACGTCCAAACAATGGAACAGTGATAGTGTCATACCAGAGGTTTCCCGCCTTGTCGTCGTCTTTCTCACCACCGATAGAAATCGCATCACAGTTTCCCTTTTTGATTACTTTCAACACACAAAAAACTACACCAACTTTGGTCCCAGCAAGTGTGACTTTCGATAATAATATTTCAGTTAGGCCCAGTGACCATGTCTGTCTGGCGTCTACAATATGAAATCGATGAGGGGGCGCATGTACCCTACGGTTGTTCCCTCGTTGTATTGCACCACGGTCGAATTAAACATCTGATTCCGCCCCCACTACGCGCAGACCAAGGAGGGGTTGACGGTGGCGCGAAAGCAACAGGAGGGTTGTCTTGGGGCTGTGTGGAAGGGTCGCTTTTGCTCTCCTATTGATTCAGTATAGACGACGATGCTGGATTTTTTATCAAGTGTTTGATGGGGTGAGGTGATTAAGGAGATTGGACACGGAGGGGATAAGGAACACGAGAGATAAGTCGCCAAATCAAGAAAAAAATTAATCTCAATTGGAGCAAAATTGTAAATAAATAAACGAAAAAAAAACTTAAAAGATAAAATCCTAACAATTTTTTCTCCCTATGTGACTACTAATAGTGATAAATAAAATCAACCGTCATATTTATTCCCACCAATTAGCCAACTTGAGTGATTTTCAAATTTATCACTTTTTTGATATAAAACGAAGCAAAATTTAGATTGACGATTAATAGCGACCGGTTTTATTAAAGCACTTGGCTTTGCATCGTGTTTAAAAATGTCGTAATGTTATAAAAAAACTACTTATAAAAATTTCGAAGTTATGAGAGTTCAAATTTTGCATTTTGACTCTATTTATTTCTGTTGGAAAAATAACTCGAAAAAACTAATAGATTTTAATTTTTATCATATATCTTTATCACCTTGTATATCCCTAACGACGCTTTATAGAACTATCGTTTATTTGACAAATTAGTGTTATTTTTCGCAGTAGAATATGTGGTTGCAGTTTTTCGCAATATTTAGAAAACACCTTCTACAATATACAGTATGTCCACAGATTAAGTTTACACGAGAAAAAAACATTTTTTGCTTCACCTGAAACAAGTATACGGTCTTGAGGTTGAAATTTAAATGAGATGACATTCACAGTAGAAGAAAACTAATACACAATATAAAACAAAAATTCACGTTGTAAAAAAATAATTCATTTTATTTTATTTGTTTGAGAACTGCTGCTTCGGCTGCAACAATGGCCATTAATATCATCTCCTTGTGTTTCATTGTAAATCATAATCACGACAACCAATTTATTATTTTAATATTTTTTGCCATCCATTTTCATTTTGAAAAAAAAATAAGAAAAACGAATCAAACCTATTGGAAACCATTTCGCTGGAAGAGATTAAATAGAAGATATTCGAATTTTGATAAAAACTAAAGCAAAAGCAAAGCAAATGATGACAGAGTCAAAACTATAAAGTGACTTTTCTCATTCATTGTCATGGATACGATTTTTCTATTTGCTTTGTAACAAATTCTATTGTTGTCAATAGAATTTTATCTAAACAAAGAAATAATTTCAGTGACCCTCAAACCGTGTGCCATTATTTTAGAGTTAAATAATATTTTTTAATAATAATAATTGTGTAAGTTTTCTCACAGTATTTCTGTACTCTTCTATTACGAGTACTAAATCAATTTTCAACTCCAAGACCGTAAGCACCCTGTATGTAATTAAAACTTCATTATTCTTAGTCAGTAGAAAGAAAAGTTGATTTTTCTCTTGATTTTGAACTTGTCTGCGTTTTAAATTTCATCATATTAACGGTTTGTCACTTTGACAAATAAGTTTACGCAAGTTAAATAACAAAAATGTTTCTGCAAAATATAATTTTCATAAATGGCAAGTCAAAGAAACAGCTTTAAGATAAAAAAGCTAAGTCATTTTTAACCATAATTATCCAATAAATTCATTAATTGTTAAAGTGACATAGTTGTCCAACAAATAAAACCGCCAATCTGATGGAATTAAAAAAACAGAAAAATATATTATTCCAAAATCAAGAGAAAAATGAACTGATTGAATCAGAATAACGGAAGTTTTAATTACAGATTTTCTCATTTCAGGTAAAGCAAAAAATATTTTTCCTTTGCAGTTTTGGTGTAAAATCAAAGATTTTTTTTTCCTCTTGTGAACACAATCTGGAGACGTACTGTATAATTCGAAAAAATGGTTTCATATTTGCTTGTTAGGTAAAAAACTAGTTAGTTTTATCCACTTTCAAACATCAAGTCATTTAGAAAATTGTAGTTTGTTAATGAAAATTAAAAAAAACTATAACTGACAATTAATTAACCACAATTATTGTTATTTAAAGTCAACCCCGCTTTTTCAAACACTAAATCACCAAAAGTTAACACAAATTTTGCATTTTAATAGGTAATCAAGATTCATATCTCTAATTTTATCTTCACTGAATTTTTTATATCAAGTATGAACTCTTTTAGAACCTTTTTGTCTTTTCAACAAAATAGTATAACCGCCATTAGCAAAAATTTCAAATTCTTTATATCTAATACTATACTACTGCAATAATAACTTATAATAGTATATTACATATTAAGATGGCAAGTATTTCATTTCTAAAAATTTAATGCGGGACAAAACCTCATCTTTAATTTTTGTGAAAGAAGTAGAAAAATGTTCAAAATTTTGTGTCGAAATCCACTTGAAATTCCACATTAATAATTTACAAAACTCTCACATTGCATTGTTCTCGTCTCACAACTCATCCAATTAAATCCCCAATGTAATTAAGTTGGTTTAGACAAATTTGTGCGTTCTCTAATTAAATTAATCCCTAATCAAAATCTACTAGCACCTACCTGTGCAACTATCATTATTTTAGAAGCTACCTTAGGAGAACCGTAAACTAAGTAAATCGTCGAATAAAGTTTCAAGTAGTGCAGAAATAAATAATTTAACACAGGTTTAGAGTGTGAATGTGCTTTCAATAATTCAAAGCAACGCTTCTAGTTTAATCCACAATGCAATTAACAGGATTTATCCTTATACAACGTTATTAACCTAAATTTCAGTTTAATTAAATCTAGAATTCAAGTTGTGACGGAAAAAAAACAAAACGAAATCCAATTTTATTATTTGCATTCTCTAACCGGTCTGAAGGCAGTATTTATACTGACAATTGAATTGCTGCACGCGATTTATTCCAGTTACTGCAACAAAAAACGCTCAAGAATGGGAATTTTTAAATGAAACGATTAATTGAGCGCTTAAAAAAACTTCATAAAAGAAACGCCTACCACGCCCTTGTCGATTGCAGCTGACTTGACGTCATCCCTAAACCTTCCGATTTAAAGGGTAGGTAAGTCAAATTTCCAATTAGTCATCTCGGGGGTGAAAATATCGAGTTATAAACAGTAGCGTATCAATGTCAGAAATAAGACGTTCACCGACCATTCACCCTCCTATCAACTTAAAAAAATTAAATTTCTTACTATTCAAGAAAAATTCCAGTCGCCTGACACTTTAATTAAATTTCCTTCAATACGAAACATCTGTAATACACATCAGCGAGGGTGTTAACATCACAAGAGATGGTGTTTCTGTTTACTCTTCCAATGAGAGGTAGCAATGTGTGTTGTTTTCCTCGGAGCGAAATGAATCACCATCAGAGGGGTAAAACATGGCGCGTGTCGTTCGGGTACTCCCCGACAGCTGGCACATGTGACCCGGGATAACAGGTATTCCACCACGGTTATTAATAATGCTAAAGAGTGGCTAAAGAACACTTAACTTTGTTATGTGTGAGGGCAGCTTGGAAAAGGGTTTCCGACGATTCGACACGACGGAAAGGTGAAAGGGCAAAACGTGATGTAGGCAAGGGTCAAAAGGAAAGGGAAATTTTAACGACCGAAGGGTGGACCTGCCGATTGTCAAGAAAATAGAGAAAAAGAAATTTTCTCTCTGCGTTTATGGGTTTTTCATTTCGAGGTCCTTTCAACCATTATTTGAAATAAAATCGATAATGGCATAGAATTATTTGAAAGCGTTTCAAATTACGGAAATTTTCATTAAATGATACGGAATTGCATATTACATTGCTGATTTTTATTTGTTTCTAGTTTTCCAATTATCTTTTTTCCAAAATAAGTGCTTATTATTAACAAAAACGACAGTACCTACTAATAATCAGAATGTAATTTCTTTATTCGTAATAAAATAATTGTTAAAAATATTTTTTTTGATTTGTGAATTAATAAATATAAAAAAAACATAGTTAGGCGATGATTTTGAAATTTGGCACTTTACAGAAAAAAGTTTTTTTAAAAATTTCCAAGGTATACTTGATTTTTCCAAGCTAAATTTATGTTAGAAATTAGTCTTAACCAAACAGGGCTGATCCCAAAAAATAAAAATTTAAATCGAGAATTTTATACCTTTTACAAGAGTCGTTTCACCTATCCGAGGACATACACACTCCATAGCAACGACTTACTACAGCTTCAGAATTTTAAATTTCAAATTTGAAATTTTATAAAAACCGTTTTAAATTGTATTTTAATGTAAATTTTGTTTTTCAAATCAGAATTTATTGTTCTTTTAAATAAAAATTCTTATTTTGTAATTTTGAATATTTTTTTTATTTTCTTCAGTCTTAAATTATGAATTAAAAATTCTATGTTTACTTAATTCAAACTATCAAATTCTAATTTTTATACAAAAAAATCGGTTTTTATAAACTCGTTCTTTTTTTTTGAGGCTTTTTAGCACGTTTTTCAGTTGGTAACTCATTTAGTCGCAAATTTTGGTCAAAAATTAGCCGAAACATCACAAAATTTTGCCGAAAGTAGTCTTATTTTGAGCATTTTTAGAATAAAACATGTTTTCAGAACAAATCAAAGCGTAATTCCATGAACCAATGATTAATTTTATCGAGAAACCTGTAGATCCGTCATTTTTTTAGTTGAGAAAATTTTATATTTTTTTGATGCAAAAACAGAAAATTTTTCTCGTTCAAAGTCGAAGTATTGACTGAACAACGTAAAATTCGATGAATTTAGAATTTAGTATCCAGAAATTTTCTTCTATGTAGTAGATATAGAATTTTAAAATTGCAATGTTCATCATTTTATAAACTTAGAACTGTAATTTCGATATTAAAACATTAAAACAAATTTTGTTTTGAAATTTAAACTTTTTCTATTTTTTACACTTCTTTTTCATTTCAATAGGTATAATCAGAATTCTAACCCATTTGTTTAAACTTTATTATTATCATTGTTATATTTTTTGAAATTATTTTTATGATAGGTTTTAATTATTAATTTATTATCTTCAAAACTTTTAGTTTAGACAAATTTGTGGGTTAGAGTGTTTTTTTAACAAAAATTTTTTTTTGTGTAATTTCAACGAATTTACACATTAAAAATTGCGTTGAGGCTTATGTGAAATTCGTTAACTACGTTTTTTTTTTCAAATTAAAATTCTGATTACTTAAGTTTTAACAATGAACTACACTTCTGAATAATTATTATTATTTATTAATCACAAACTTCACAAATAGCAAAGCGCAGTCCATTACCAACATTTTTTTCATGTTCCTGGTATTTTATCTTACTCGGCATTTCTCTCTGGTAAGTTACTTTTGGGACATCCTGTATGTAGCAATATTGCTAGCAATAGTGTAATGTAGCATAAATTAAAATTTTGTGAAAAATCTGTGTCAAACTTGGTGATTTTATTTTTAATTACGATTTTATTTAGAGATTTTTTTAAACACCATATGACACAGATCCACCAAAAACTAATTTAATTTTTATATTAAACACAACACCAGGCAATGTTATGCAACATGTACACTTTACGAATTATTTATTTGCTCAACTAACTAACATAACAAGTCCAGAAAAAAACTACTTTACGGACGGAAATTTTGACACAGTATATTTGAAAATATAGAAAACTTTTCAAATAAATCATATTTGTAGCTTAGAATTTAGCAAAACACACTGGTAATAATTATAATTATCAAAATTAATTTAGAATTATAAAAGCTAATTTAATATAGTGGAATTACACTGAATTACATTGGATTTTCCGTGGAATTTTTCGGAATTACAAGCTTTCTATCCCTCGAATTGAGTCATTGTAAGCAATCAGACTCTATTGATGACTCTGCAAAACCTCACCACAAGAAAAATGCGTCAATTCGCAGCCATCACAATGATAAATGAACACATTGTCATACCTCGAGGGGAGTCCCGAATTACGGATTTATAAACATTGTTTCAAAGTCGTCTAAATCACCCCCTTTCTAGATTAATGACAAGAGTCAAGGCAACGCTTTCGTAAATCTTTCACGACAAAAGATAAATCACGTAGGTGTAACAGGGGATTAACACAAATGTGAGTAAACTTACTTACCCATTTGGAATATGTGCAGGCATGGTTTGTAGCCTCCGCGCGTACAAAACTGATCCTCCTTCAGACATATACCCGTCAGAATTATCCCTCGAGGGTGCATTCCGCAACATTTCACCATCAGAAAGGTAACCATTAGCGAGGGAAATTTCGCAATAGTCCGAACTTGGGTCCTGTTGGACCCTCTGGTAGTGTCTTTGGCGCGGAGGCAGAGTCAAAGTACTGCAATAGCCCCTCAAAAGGGGCCTCATTGGCTCAATACTCAACGGAGTCTCCTCGTCACCCTGAGACCCCTCCCTGACAAAATTCAAGAAATTCTTCGGTTCTTGATTTTCGGTGTTGAGGAGTTTTTCTTTGTTAGGTTGGTCTTCTGTTGCTTCTGATATGTACGTGATTGGGTCTTTGCGGTTTGGGATAATGTTGTGGTGTTCGGAACTACTTTCACTTGAAGGCTTGTAAATGACGCTACTTTCGCTGGAGTTGCTGTGGTGGCCGGTGGAAGCACTATGACTGCTCTCGGAGAGTTGGGGCTCTTTCTCGTTTTTCATGGGGGAGACTAGGGCTACGGCGGGCTTGGTGTGTGTGATACTGGCTTGGGAGTTCTCACGCGAAATGGGGGTTTTAAGGGTGTTGAAGCTTTTGTCGTCGCGCACGATTTTCGTGGTACCTGAAAAGTCAAGTCTAGTGTTTTTAAGAGCAAAACCAACCTCACAAAATGAAGAAATTAAGGGTTGAAATTTCAACAACGCCTGTTGTCCAAACAAGCTGAAATTTTGTATACACACATAATTCCCGTAACAATATGATAATATTTACTTTAATTAATAATTAACAATTGTTATAAACAATTATCAATATCTCGGCCGCTATTTGAAGTACGATAGAGCAAAAAAACCCTATAGGTTGGTAGAGGTTTTACTTTTGTTCTGATATGGTAATTTTGAATAGATTTTTTTTTTAATTTCAGCTTTAAAGTATGAAATAAAAATTCTATGCTTACTTAATTTTAAAAATCAAAATTCTAATTTTTATACAAAAAAAAAATTGCTTTTTATAAACTTGTTCTATTTTTTGAAGCTTTGTAACACGTTTTTCAGTTGGTAATTCAGTTATTTCTTAAAATTTGGTCGAAAATTAGCCGAAAAATTACGCCGAAAGTGGTCTTATTTTTGAGTTTTTTGAACATTTTCGGAATATAACATGTTTTTAGACCAAGTCAAAGTGTAACTCCTAGAGCCGATGAGGAATTTTATCGAGAAACCTGTAGATTCGTCATTTTTATAGTTGGAAAAATTTTGTATTTTTTTTTATGCAAAAAAAGACAATGTTCACCTTGAAAGTCGAAGTTTTGACTCAGAAACGTAACATAAGATAAATTTCGAATTGAGCATCTAGAAATTTTCTACTACTAGATCTAGAATTTGAAAATCACAATTCTCATCATTTTGTAAACTTGTAATTTCGATATTAAAATATTGAAACAAATTTAGACTTTTTCTATTTTTTACTCTTAATTTTTTTTTCCATTTCAATACAATCAGAATTCTTATGCTTGAACTTCTGAAATTTATTACATATTATCATTTCTTGAAATTATTATAATAATAGGTATTTATTATTTTAGAATTTTTGTCTACGAATTCCAAACTTGCAAACTTAAAATTTTTATAATCTTTATAACTTTTATAATAACTTAGAGCCAGCCAGTTTCATAATCGAATTAAAGACTTTAAAATTAATGTTGGTTTAGAATCCGAAATTTTTATCAATAAATCCGTGGTAATCAGCACGTTCTAAACCAACCATTAACTTTAAAGTCCTTTTAACTCAATTATGAAACTGGCCCTTAGAGTGTTTTGTTTTGAAAGAAATTTTCGACATAAAGTTTTTTTCTTTTACTTTGATGTTGTCCGAACAAGTTGAAATTTTGAATACACACATAATTCCCGAAACAATACAATAATATTTACTTTAATTAATAATTAACAATTGTTATAAACAATTATAAATATCTCGACCGATAATAATTGTAATACGAAAATGAAACCAACTCCATTCGAGCAGAAAAAACCCTATAGGTTGGTAGAGGGGTTTTAAGGGCAAAACCAACCCCCTATCTCCCTCAGAAATAAAGATATTAAGAGTTGAAATTTCAATATCGCTATTTGGACAGTTCCTGTGGTCCAACAATCTAAAATACACACGTAATCCTTGTGAAAATAAAATAATATTTACTTTAATTAATAATTTATAAAGAATTAACAATTGAAATAATCAATTATTAATATCTCGGTGAAACACAAAAATCTGAAAAGTATTGAAAAGTAAAAATTTTTTTTTCAATATTGCGTCTGAAAGAAATCTATATCGATACTAAAACCGATGCTTTAATGGATGCTGAAATAAACTAGTACAACTTACTTTCTAGAGGTTGGTAATGGTGGTTTTTAGCGCCGTTTTATATTTCAAATAGTGTGCATGAAATATTTGCAGTAGTCATTGTTAATTCAACAAAATTTTGAAAAATATTCGAGATTTGATACTTCGAAAATCATAATTTTCAAACTTTGTAACATTTATTACTAACCTTATTAAGGAAAAAGTTCCTAAATTTTGAAAAATTGACTCTTATGTTAAAAAAATACATAAAACACGCAAAATAGAAAAAATAGCATAAAAAACTTGTTTCATAACTCATTTGTGGGAACTCGTTCTTTATAAAACTCGCACTTTACTGCTCGTTTCATAAACATGAACTCGTTTACGAAACGCGTTCTTGAATATTTTATTTTTCTGTCAAAGAGAAAAAATTATTTTTTACTTTTTGGTATATTTTTTTAAATAAAAGCTTCTTTTTAATTATTTTTTATTTTCAATTCAATTATCTTATCTCATGAAAAATTGGACACCCAGTAGGCGTACCTTTAATAGCCGCCGTCGGCTTCGGAATACCGGTACCATGTTGGTTCTGCGTGGGCAAGTGGTTCTGACCTTGTCCATTCTTCGCCACAGCCTTGATCTTCGATTCCACCAGCTTCGAGCTCGACAAATTCGCCACTTTCTGTGCATGTTTCTCCACTTCCGTTTTCGTCTGTTTGGCCACCAGTACGTCCTTCTTGAGCGCATTGGGACTGTTCTTCGTGGGCGTCGTCTTCGTCGGCCTCGTCTGTTTCAACCTCGACGCGTTTTTCACCGGTTTCACATCAGCACTAGGTTCCAAACTGGCACTACTATCACTGCGTTCACTCCTCGCCGACGAGACGCCACTGGAACTGCTAGTCCTTTTTCCGTTGGTGGTGGGTGTTGGCCGATCGTTGGATTTGAAAAGTTTCAGTTTGTCGAGCATCGAATTTGAGTTTTTCTGGGGAGGGGGGGTTTGGTAAGGGCTGGAAATTTGGGCCGGAGGGCCGCGAGGAATCATGGAAAGGGCCGGACTCGAGGCGCGACTGGAACCGGCCACTGGACGCACTTTATCTGGTGGACATCGTCGAGAAGGTAGTGCCGAGCCGGGCAAAGGGATGCTACTGCCGCCCTTGTGAGGGATTGCCGACGATCTGGAAGAAAATAAACAAATGTGGTGAAAAAATCAAGCTGTGTTTGAGTTGGGAACAAAGGAAAAATAAACTCTTTTAGAAATTTATAAATAAATTGTGTCGTTGTTAATTCAGCTAAGAGCTAGAACTTCGGAGTTAAGAGCTATTAATTCGACAAACCCTTATCAGCCCTTAGGCCGTCTCAACGGCAGACGTGGGGCCTTAATCGCGTTATTCTGCCATGCTGATGAATTATAAAGACGTAATCTCGCTTTCTGCAACACTAGGGTGCTGTGAATATGTTCGGCCATAATAAGAGCACAAGCAAAATTTACAAATTCTGTTTACAACTTTGATTAAAAATTTTTTTTTTTTGATAATGTTTGTCTAAAAGTAAACATTTCAGTTTTCAGCGACTAATATGTACCTATATGACAATAAAAAAAATGACACAGGTAAGAAAAAATGTATGAAAAAAAATACGTTCAAAAACAAAGAACAAAGAATAAAATTACATTACGATCTGTAACTAACATGAGTTTCACGATGCATTCGCAAATATCAGAATTAAGTTTCAAAATCTATTTTTTTGTTAGTGAGTTAATAAAAATTTCATTATTCTTGTACCTGTGTTAAAAAAATTAAAAAATGTTTGAAAGCAATTTTTAAAGCTTCAATATTTAAAAAAAGTTACTCCGTAGGCACTGATATTAATGTTTTATAACAAATTTTTTAAATTAGTGCAAAAAAAGATGAAACTGTACAGTAAGCGGCAAAAATATGAAACAATCTGATTTATTAAAACTGAAAATATTTTGTTTTAACAAAAATATTCGAACAGGTCAATTTTCTTTTTAAAAAATACAAAATTCTCAACTTGATTTAAAATTGTATGTTTGTTTGTTGTTGGTATTATTTCACTTTGTTGTTGATTTTTTTTCGAAAACTTTATGTAACATTTAATATTTTGATGTTGTCATTTTGAGAATTAAAAGATTTACCGAACTGACTAAAAAAATTAAGAGTTTCCATTTAAAAAAAGGCAATTTATTATTCAAAAACCAAAAAGAGTAAAATTTTAAGTCAAGTTAAAAAATTGTGTATTTTTTAAAAAGAAAAGTGACCTGTTCGAGCACTTTTGCCAAAACAAAATATTTGCAGTTTTATTAAGATTATTCCATAATTTTGCCGCTCACTGTATAGTTTTACCCCTTATGAACATAAAGTTTGGATATTTATTATAGTAAAAAATCATTGATACAAAATTGTTTAATATGAATAAAAAAATTCATTTTTCTCAAATGATTTTCTCGAGTATTTTCTATTATCCGCGACACCGCTGTCCTATTAAACATAATGTCTCATGTCTTTTTATTACAAATATGATTAATGATGTCAATCCCCTATTTGCAGTTCAGTGCTGCCATAACAACGTTTCGATAAAATTTGACTTTGTATAAGTATTCACAGTTATTGAAATAATAATTGTATAATGGGTAATGTATGCTTTCTTCTCGCTGAAAATGGTTTGAAAAGCGAATTGCAGCTGGCGTTATAAAAGAGATTTATTATGTGCGAGATTTATTAGCTTTTACTGTGTGTTTTATGCTCCTATATTGCAATAAACGCAGTTAATGCACATTTAAACGGATGTGATAAATAGAGACTAATATTTATGTATTTTAAAGCATGCAGAGTAATTCAATAAAATTTATAAATCAATAAAATTATTAAAATTACAGAACACCTATTTAGACATAATTTTATCCACACCCAAATATAATTATTGACAATGTAGTAAGTATGGGAAATGACCACTTCCCAACCTTAACTGTCATGTGTCATGTTTTTCCAAATGTGATAATTTTTTTATTGGCTTTCTGTTCTTTAAGGATGATTGTGAATGAAGTGGTCGTTGCTTCATCGAACCTCAGCTTGGTAATGAAACACTTCCCACCTCGGTATGTAATCTACCATTATTTTAATCAAGTTTTTAATATCACCGTAAGCTTTGCCATTGGTTCAGTTCTTCGTTATGCAAAATTAAAGCTTCATTTTGAATGGTTTACTTTGGTAAGCCCGTAAAACTGCTATTAACGTAAAGCTAAAAAAACGGTAAAGAAATATGTTTTTAATTCAATTCAAAATTTAGTATTTATTAAAAAAGCACTTTACTCACTTTTCCCAAAGTATAACAATTAAAGCTAACACAATATTATCGTTACCATTCCTTTATTATCTTATATTTTGCATTTTACGTTATGCTTCAATAAGATGGCTCTTTATGTAACAATATATATGTAACCGAGATCCTTGAAATAACAAAACCCTTGTTCACTGAAGCTTGAACAATAAATTGGGGGTGGAGTGGCTTATGTTCGCAATCAAAATAATTTATATAGTCGTGGTTTCATTAACATACAACCCTCATTAGAGGGGTTTATTTTGTAAAAAAAAAATAAAGCAACTGGGAATAAATACACGTTTCGAGACATAAATCAGAAAATCCGTTTGATAAAGAGCGCAGTGTTAATCTCCCATTTCATTCATAAGTAATAATGCAATTATTTCAGTCGACAGATTTCACTCGAAAAGCTTAATAAATAATGCAGCAGTCCCTCCAATTCCGGCGAGCTTGAACGACAAATAAATATTTTGAGAGAACTAGTCCAGAACATAATTGATTTTTAATTCAATAATAATTTGATAATCTACATTTGAAAAAGAGTGGTTTTATTTATTATTCATTCGTCTGCATGACAACAAAATCAATTAAAATTAAAGCTGAAACTTCTTGTTAATTAGAAATAAATTTAAGCGCCATAAGCAGTCCCACTCAAGTGCTTCAAACTTAATTAATTTTACAAAAAATTCAAAGCAATTTGAAATTTTTAATAAAGATGTAGTTTTGTCGTATAGTATACATCACGGAGAGTGCCTGGAAAGGGAACCACCTGCTCCATGTGTGGCATAATTTATGGACTAAAAAACTCTATGACACGCACTTGAAAGCTATTTGGAGAGAAAAGAGGGTTTTCTACATTTTTTTGTGCGACAACAAAAAATAAATTTATATAATATTTTCCTTCAAAATATTATATAATTCACTAATGTGAAAACCCAACTAATACCTATTTGAACAAATGTTAAAAAACAAGTTTCTAAATAAAATAATATACCTACATACAGGCTGGTTAAAAAGTAGTAAAACAAGTTAAAGTAAATTAATCAATGTCCTTGTGCCCAATAAAATATCTCGACTTGTTAAGATTGTCTCAGAAATTTTTTTTTATTAAAATTGCTGATTTATGTTTTAATAACTCCTAAATTATAGTAATTTTTACATTTTGATGTAGTTAAAGTTGTATTTTTTTCAATTAATTCTAGGACAGTTTCCATTATTTTAATTTTTATTCTTTTTATTATTATTATTAAATTTTTTCTTCATATTTTTTATACTTTTAAAGTAATAATAAAACACCTTTCTCATGCGAAAACAATAAACTAAATATTTCATCAACTTTTTGGCCTTCTTAACAAACTTCTTCGTTTTTTTAAACTAGTGGTTGCAATGTATTAAAGAATTTATTGTGCACACACAAATTTGCATTTCTCTCATTGAAATAAAAAAGAATAATTTTCCATTTTTAATTACCCTAATAAAATTTAAAAAATCAAATTACCTGTTTCAAAACTAAAAAAAATCGATCTATATTTTTTTTTTATTTAAAACAAAATAAATTTAAGCCGTAATTCTTTTCTGAGACAACAAGTATAATTGAAAAATCAATTATGCTATATAAATGAATGAAATGCCATTTATGTAGCAAATATAATAAAAAGTTATTAAGACAAGTTGTTTAGAATCGAGACTTAGGCCCTTATACCAAATTTGAAAATCATCGACCAACTATGTTTTTTTAATTTTGTTTCAAGATAATTGCTTTACGTCAAAAAGATATTTAGTGCTAATAATATAAATTTGTATTTTTTTGTTCGTAATAAAAGAACTCTTAAAAATAAAATACTTTGATTCGTGAAATAATAAAAATACAAAGAATACAAAATTATACTCGGTTATGATTCTAAACAACTTTTCTTAATGTATTTGCCATACAAAAGACACTTTACAGAAAATTAAGTTTTTTTTTAAACTAATTTTTCAAAACTAAAATTATATTAGAAATTAATTTTTAACCAAGCAGGGCTGAACCCCAAAAAAATAAAGAAATAAAGCAATTTTTTTTTATCTTTTACAAACGTCGCTTCACCTATCCGTGGACACACTTTATAAAGGCACTAATTCACTAAAAGACTTTACCGCTTTGTAGAACAGCCTGTATATAAAATATGGGCAAAAAATTTCTGCTAAAATTGAGTCCTACTCAATGACTTAATTTAAATTAAATTAGAAAAAACTGTAAAATAATCCGGTTAAACTCGCCACACATCACATAATTTAAACCCAATTCCGGAACTCTGGTGAAAATTGATTGAAAACCAGACCACTCGCGTTAAAAATCGCATTGCACTGCAGTAAATGCCAGCCGTTGATTTAGGCATCGATTAACCGAAATTACACACCTCCGAACTTCCGGAGAAGTGGGCAAGCTCCTGGACTTGCGAACTCCGGAGTTTGTGTTCCCCATGCTTGAGCGATGGTGATACGACGACACGCGCCCGTGCACTGTTCAGCCACCCCAACAATGAGAAACTGCATCTGCCACTCTTCCATCGGAGCCCTCCCCTGTTCCCCTAAACCCACATTTGCATCAGAATGGTCCACCGGACCCATGAACAACCGAGCGACGAGAAGAGTTTATTCTACAACGCGACGCGATATCTCCGGTGATAAGAGATTTCGAGAATTAATTCGAGGTAATTGCGCGAGTTTGGGAGTTTCGAAAGGGTAGAGAGTTGGGGAAAGGGAAAACTGAAACTTAATTTTACACTAAAAGGGCGGCTTTCCAATGTTTAAATAATTTTCAACCCACTCTAGTTACATATTAATCAAATAATACCGAAAATGCAATTAAATAATGATGATAACATTATTTTGACGAGAGAAATGATCCAGAATTGATATTTTCAATATTTAAAATTATTTACATTTCTCTGCAAATATTGAAACACCACTTTATTAAATATTGATGCATTAATGCAATAAATTCTCTATTTTAAAATTTAAATGTTTGATAATGAATAAGGATAATACACTTAAAATGTAGTAAAAAACAAAAAGTATAGAAACAAGTATCTTTTGTAATCGTTCGTCTTCAAAAAATAATAATTAATAAAAATTAAAGTAATCGTGTTTTGAGAATTAAATTTTGTGTCATACTTTTTTTTTTAATTGGCAATTTATGTAAAAAAAATTCGATAAAAATTGCATATAATGTAGATTGTTGTAATCTTTAGTCTTTAGATCATAGTAGCCTTTGTAAAAATAGTATATTATTATATTATTAGGAGTAAAAGTGATAGTTTATGTGTATGCACCTAGTGAGGCAAATAATTTAGCTCAGCCGCATAAACTCACTTTTAGTCAAATAACATATACCATTTTTTAGCAAGTAAATGAACAAACAAATATAAGGATACTTTGCAACTTTATTTTTAGTAATTGTTATTATTTTTGTGTTTATTAAATTAACTAGTGCATGACTAGTGCAGTTAGTAGTGCAAAATGTTGAATGCTGATGATCTACAATGTACCTCTCCAGAAATTGCTGAAGCAGTGAAAGAGATAAGAAAGCAACAAAATTAATAAATGACAATAATGTCATGGTAAAAGTAAAAACGCTTAGGAGCAAAAATATAATTTTTATTCCATGGCTGAAAAGTAAAGCTTTTATTTGTAACATTTAGACCCTTTTGTGACCTATGCATTAAAACCATTTAAAAAAATTGACTCACAATTAATTTTTTTTTAAATAAATAGTTTAAGCAAAAAACCTTTGGTTGGTATGATCCGTAGTTTCAAAAAATTCAGTCATGCCAACATTTTTGTTTTATCCTTGCACTTTTTTTGATAAAAAATTGTGAACATTTTTACAAATGAGTAAAAGTGCATGTTTTCTTCCTATTTTTAAAAACAACTACAGAGTGGTTTAAGATTTATCGCCAAAGTTAATTAACTGTTTGTTGTACATAATTTTATTGAGTTACTAAAATTGTATTTCACATACGTTTTATACCGATGTTTGAATCTAAAAAAACGTAAATTGCCCCATTTTTTATGAAGATAACAAAAATTCCCTTATCCTAATCAAATTTTGCCAAAAAGTATTAAAATGGCATTAACATTCAGTTTAAAACAAAAAAAGGAAACAAAAATCTTTATTTTTAATAAACGAAAGAAAATTCGATTTATTTTTCTTCATCTTTTTGCACTAAAGCTGTTTGTGCACAATCAGAAATCCGGAAGGTCAAATCTTGTGTTTACGCGACATTTTTATTAAGATAGACTTTTCATCAGGGACGGAGGGAAGATGCTATTACAGCTCCCTCTGGAGAAATTTTAGAGCCTAGGTTTAAATCTAAAAATGGAAAACACGAAAAGCATAAACGTATAAATACTGCGAGATAAGAATCATAAATTATAATAATCTTATTAAACGGAAAATTGCATTTTCTCGCAGACTAGAGAATCATTAGTGCAAGAGCAGCAATTTTCATTAACTACCTAACATTTTTTCTAAAAATTCTTGCAGCATAATTTATATCAAATCCTTGACTACTAAACCAGACATCTTATTCCTTCCTTCCCCGAAGCCTAAACCCAAAAAAATCTCGTCTGCAATAAAATCAGAACCATACATACATAAATTCTCTCCACTAAAGCGTTAAAAATTTGTCGGTTGGTTTCCTTTTTTTCTGTCCCGTGAGATGGCAGATAATACGGTTTTATGACACACTTTGTAAAATGCAAATGTGACCCGTATTACATTGGCACCAAAGGGTTTCGTGTTTGTCATTACGTCAATTGGAGAAAGTTCATCGGTTAATTTGATAATTACTTTATTGGATCACTCGGTAGATAGACGGTCAATAGGCAGTGTTTATGCCAGCTAAATTAACAACACCCGAGGCATAAATCCGGTATAAATCGAATGTAAATTATGAGATATTTGCTATTTTCGTTGTTAAATTTAAATTTACAACAGTTTGCTATCTCAAATTACGATATTGCATCTCCCATAAAATACTAAATCTCGTATAAAACGGATTATTTTTTGCTGGTAGAGAAATACGACTCTATTTACTATAGTACGTTATTGTTCTCCTTTATGTATTTATCTCACATGACTGTAAGCACAGCTTTGAGACGGTTATTTATGACAAGTTACCTCAAACACATTAGGCGTAAAGCACAATAAATTTCTGTGTTATACAGGGTGTTAAAAAAGTTTGCAAAACATTTAAGGAGGTAATAGTACGAACCAAAATAAACAAAAAAGTCTTAATAAACATGGGTTCGCAAAGTAACGGTTTCGGAGATATCGAATGTGAATATTTTTTTTAAATTTTACTACTTTTTTGTTTAAACAGACTGCAAATAAATGTATCAAAAAAACAAATAATTTTCGATATCTCGGAAGGCAACTTTAAGAATTTATTAAAAAAAAAAACTACTCGATAAAAAAATTTTTTTGCTAAGCTTGAAAACAAAAAAAATCGAAAAATTATATTCCAGAAAAACGATCTCATTTTTATAGTACTTTACATTGCACTAATATTTTTTTTTCGTAAAGTAGTTAGTTTATGCAAAAAAACGCTTGCTTCCATATTTTTTATCCACCCGGTGTGGTAGAAAACTTTTGGTTTTTGAATTTTTTTTAAATGTTGAACAAGAGTTTAGTTAGTATTTCCTCACATTGTAAAATTGCAGCGAAACTTTCCTCTGAAATATATTTCCTATAGTGTCGTAATGCACATCCATTGAGCCCTCCATCTCAACATGAAAGCACTTGAGCGTAAAAGTATCATTAGGTCCGAGTTAAAGCTTTATTGCGAAACTTCGGACCTGTTCCAATATTTCGCGGAACATAAAACCCCTTCGCTGCAGCGGTAGACATCCCCTGACATTTCTCCCCCGTTTTTCAATAAAAATAAAAGTATGATGAGTGCGTGTGGTGTGTGCGATATGAAAAGACCCTCCAAATGGACATTCTCGAGACGAAAAAGACCTAATTGAAACGTAAAAACGAGATGGAAATTTTCATTATTAAGCGACGTGTCAATTATTTACTTTGCAATTGCGGTTTGCTCGTTTGGCTGCACTAAAACCCTTGAAGTTTTTTCATTAATTGATAAAAATACATGGTGCTCTGTTTTTATTGATAGAATCTTCAATTTTAAGACGAAAGTTTCTTAATCTGGAGAGTATAGGGTAAAAAACATCCTAACTATTTTGGCTTTTTCGAAACATGTTTATAAATATAAATAATTTAATAAGTTAGTTTTAAATAATTTTGAACTCTTACAGAGAGTTCCAAGTTATTTGGGAGATATAACAAAGTAATGGAATTGGAGTATATTTCAACTCGAATAAATCTCGATAACTAATATGCTCACTCTGCATATAACCCAAATATTATTAACCCTGTCACTCCGTAAATTACAATTTAATCTAAAATTGCTTCACCGAAACATTGGTGGTATTATATCAAACATAATTATCTAGAATAACCCTAAAACAAGCAAATAAAATTACTACAGAATTTTGATTCTGAAAAAGATTTCAAAAACTTCTTATAGAATTGATTATGTAAATGAATTGAGTAAACGCAGGTGTCTTGCGTTCCCTTTAAGTGATTAAATGTCATGTGGGCACACGGGCTACCTTAAGAAAAGCCCTTTTGTTCGCCCTTTAGAGATCTGAAACGGTTTTAAAGTATAAAGCGTTTATTGAAAGTTGTGTCGAAAAATAAATATGAAAAATAGTATATTAAGACTAATCTTGAAGCATGAATTCAATTTAAAAAAACGAATGGCGTAAACACGAATTATTTTTAAAAATGTGAACTTAAAAGTTTTTTTTTTTTAATATAATCTTTTGTATTTTGCCCACTTTATGCCGTTTTTAAACAAAATGTCATAATTTTAAAAGTCAAAACTTGATCTAGTCATCTTTTGACTATTAAGACATCGCATGTGATGACGTCGCGTTCTTTAATATGTTTATTAGAGAATTAAAATAGAGGAAAATTACAAAAAAGACGTTTTTAGAAAAAAAAAGCACCAATGAAAAATATGACTAAATAATACTCCTAAATTAATCTATTTAGAATAAAAATTTATATCGCAAGATAAAAAAATTAAAAATAATAAAAATTATTAAGTTGTCATTTGCCAATTATATACTTTGAAGCAAAATTTCAATGCCGCATAATGACACCCTGTATAACACTCACAGTCATGTCATAGTAATACTGATAACGTTTTAATAATAAATACATGCGTCAAAGTTATTTGATTTTCATTATTACCTAACAATTATTATTTTATACAGGGTGATTTCAACAGATAATAGAGCTCAAAACAGTCGTAATAACGTAAACTTTGGGAAAAAAAAACTCAAAACGTTTAAGTTCAAAACCTTTAAATTGCATTTTTTGACAATTTTTCCGACGCCAAATTGGAAGTTGCACCCTGTGTATCTCAGAGACTATAAACATTCGGATAAGACAAGTTTAATTATTACGAGTTTTTTTGAGCTCTGTTAAAAAAATTGCACATACTTTAAAATCACCCTGTATATTTTATTGTTAATTATTCGTATTGCACTTGTAGGTTCAACTTTTATTGTTATCAGTCGAATACACGCATCTATTTTTATTTTTATTAAAATCAAGAACAAAAAAATATTTTATGAAAAAGAAATAAATATTTATTTTACTGTAAATAAAAAATATGTACAAAAATATTTGTCGTACATACATAGGACACTTACAAAAAATTATATCTACATATTTTGTAATATTTTATTATATTGCACTCATATTGTGTAATTCAATTTGTATCGCTTCCAATGTTTTACCCTTCGTTTCAAATAAAAACTTATACACCAATAAAAAATGTACAAAACAAGATATCGAGTAGGCAAAAAAAGCAACATCCATACCGAGAAATTCACAATCGGTTATAACCTGGAAGAGTTTGGTTGTTGCAAACGACACTATGAAAAAATGTAAAACAAACAACAATGAAACGAAAGCTTTCATATTTATTGGAAACAATTCACCCACCAACATACAGGGAACAGCTAACAATAAACTGTAAAATATCGTAAAACACACCATAACAAAAATCATAATCTTTTTGATAAACTCAGTAATGATCAAATCTGTGTGTAAAGACACATGTAAGTAGGCTGCAATAATTAGAAAAATTACACCAGAAGTGAAAAGCGAAATTAGAAATGTTGGCCGACGTCCAATTTTATCGATAAAGTAAGAAGAAAAAAAAATTACCACCAGTTTGGCTGAATAAAAAATCACCGCAAACATCATCGGTGATATGTCACAAAGTTGGTTAAAAATTGTTTGAGAGTAAGTATCAAAGGTGAAATCACCAGTTAATTGCTTGGCATTGACAGCAATAAATAAAATCATCAAAGCTCTCCGATTCGATTTGATTCTGAACAAATCAAGAAATTGTCCTTTGTTCTCGATTTGTTTGGCCACCGTTTGACTTATCCTTTTAAAATCAACATCAACATCGTTTTTATTTCGAAATATTTGTAGAGACTTTGTTGCCTCATGATTTCTTCCCCTCATAATCAGAAAATAGGGACTTTCAACGAACCAAATGAAAAGTACCAAAAACACAACTCCGAAGCCAAATATAATAAAAGAACTTATTTTAATACTCAAATATGAACCTATAACGTTGATAAACAACATTCCAAAAATTTGCATAATAAAGATCCACGTGCTCAAGGCCCCTCTTACCGTCTCATGTGCAATTTCTCCAAAAAATTGCGGTATGGTTGTACAATACCCAGCAATTCCGATTCCAGCGATAAATCTAGCTGTGCAAAAAACTGCAATAGAATTGCCATAAGCCAGCATTAGAGGTGACACCAAGAAGGGAATTGCAGTCGTCAAGAGTAATTGTTTGCGTCCCAATTTATCAAAAAGTAGAAAATAGATAAGAGCTCCTGTTACTCCTCCAACACATAGTGATACGGTGATCCAAGAACCGTCCGAATGTGTGACCGAATTTTCATTTATCAGTTTTGGAATGTAGACAGAAGTCCAGGCTTCGTAAATGCCGGTAATCAGTCCAGGGAGAAGCCCTTCTTGGGTATTAGCAAAAATATTTCTTTTTTATAAAACACTTACCAGCAAAAACTGTTGCAAAGTAGTAAACATTCATAGCTTTGAAATGTTTAACCAACGAATTACGTATAGACAGTTACTGAAACGGTAGCAAAAAAATAATAACATTGCATATATGTACTTATTATTATGACATGACGTGCAATATACTGATAAAAAATTTTATGCTAGAATTTAAATTATTTTTTTAGTTTGAAACACGTGCATAATTTACAACACGACAGTACACACACCTGCTAAAATTATGGCCAATTTTCGACGAGAATTGATATCTGTTCAAGTTCAAGTCTAAAAATTATCGTTTCAAATTTTCGGTTGATAATAGTATATTATTCAACAAGCGAGAAGGTTGGCCGTTTCCACAAAGATAAAATTTACGATACGAGTCGAAAGCGGATGGAATTGGCCATTTCTCACAGTTTAATGCTTTTTCTAATTTCAACTAATGACTGGACCATACTTTTTATATTTTTTTCTTTTTATTATTATTATTTAATTTTCTTCACAGTAGTAGAGACAATCAAATACTTTCTCCACACTTTTCAATGTTCTTTATAAAACTGGAAACGGTTGAAAAAAAATACAAATTCTTTAACATGTTTAAAAGTTCAATTCTAAGATGCAATTTTAACTGTTTTCGATAAACAGAATTTTTTATGTTTTTTCTGCTCATTATTGTTGAATCACGATTTCTACACGAAACTAATACCCTAGGTCATTCGAGATAACAAATAATAGCATTGTTTGTTGTTTCCTGAAATATTCATATTCTTGATAATATTTCGTTTTAATTATTATTTTTATTCACAATTTTTACAGTAAATTGCAGACTCATAATCTTTTGAAGGTTAGAAAGTCATTACATCCCGTGGTCTGCAAGTAATTAATGTACCAGGTTTATAAAAATAAAAAACAAATATTTTATTATCTTATTATTTAAATAAAATGTAGTAGTAGAAACTCGTTGTTACATCCTCGCGATCTATCTAACCTTAAAACTGCGCTTCTGTCGTACATCAAGGCGTTCGGGGTAAGTAATTACATATTTCCCATCTGAGTTATAATATACCATTTATTCAGAATCATTACAAAATATCGATTCCTAATGTTGTGGAGGTCGAAAAGTGATTACATTTCCTGGTCTAAAAGTTATTTGTGTATTAGGTTTACAAAAAAAAAAACAGATATTTTATTATTTAAACGAAATGTGGTGGTGGCAATTTGTTACACCCACCATTTTGATTTTCTAATAGACATATTAAAAAACGCGACGTCATCATCAAATTTTGACTTTTAAAATTAAGACATTACCAAGCATCACAACAATCCCTAAATCGACTAAAGTGTATGTGTATAAAATGTGTAAAGAGGACAAACTACAAAAAATATTATTAAAAAACTCGTTTTATAAGACTTTGAAACACTCATTCTTTAAAACAATTGGTAGCTACAGCACTCGTATTTTAAACTTAAATTCGTGCTTAAAGACTGGTCTTGTAAAATTAGTTTTTTTGTAATACTATTATTCATACTAATTATTCACAATCACTGTAGTGAAAATATACCGATTCGTAACCTTTTAGAGGTTGGTAAATACGTCATTCTATCCCTTAATTGCTTACACCCTCGGGCCCTACGCCTCTCGGCCATATAATCTAAGCCAAAGTAATACAAAAAAATTATGTTTACAAAGAGCCCACTTATTTATAGAAAACCTTGTATCGAAAACCGAGAAAGTAAAAACTGATTTATTTTCTAAAGTGATATAGAGTAAATATTTTTTAAAACAATAATGGTACGTTTTAAAATTCGAAACTTATTAATTGGAAGTCCTAAGTAACACAAAATTTCGAGTTTGAAAAACCAAGAATAAAAATGAAATGCAGACTTTCATACATAGTATTTTAAAGCAAAAACAGTTAAAAAAATGTATTAATTAAATTTTGATGTTAGAAGAGTCAAAATTAAAAAAAGATTAAGAGAATTTAACAAGATATGCAATCTAAGATTTCAATGTGAACTCAAAATTTAACTTTTTCTCTTACAAAATTTAAAAATGTTACCAATTAAAAGCCTTAAAAACCGAATTCCGACAAAAATCAAAATACTAAAATAACTCGAATCTAACGCAGTCTAATACACCCCATCTTCTCACTCAAGTTAGTGGCTTTGTTTGAAAACCACTGCAACCCCGGCGTTAATTCCACTCCAACATTGTGAAAGCGAACTTCCAAACAAGCTGCGTAATCATAATTTGTCTTCCCAAGAGATAAATAAATAAATTTAACGATTCACGTCGTGCATTTGGGAATACAAGTTCAAATTTGCAAAGCGACCAGTTTACGCTTAAAAAGCTTTTTACACCAACGATTCGAAACATCTGCTGCGTTAAAACCAAATCCGATTTGGATTTTAATCAGAAATTTTGTTTGCACAATTTACGAGATTTGTTTCAACACACCGAAAAATCGCACTTCAATATTTCAATATTTATTCAGTGACTTGCAATTACAACATTTTTAGTTTAATTCGTAGCGTAATTAAGAGAAAAGGGAATTTTGATTAAAGCGATAAATTTAACTTGAGACGCAACAAGCTTAAAGACTTAAACAGATGGCACAAAATAAGCCTTTCGTAATTATTAATACTTCTTAATGCTCAAATTTAATTGCAAGAAATATTAACAAAAATGGTGGATGCGCCGGGATAATTTTAATCCGTTAATTTTGCATTAATTGTAAAATAATTAATAAGATCATCTCAGGATATTAAATAAAACTACCGCAAACGTGCTTTGTAAAAATCAATAATGATTGTTTGAGAAGCACTGACGTTGTGTTATTTGGGTTGCATAATTCAGTGTGCAATAAATCGTTTGTGAGACACTTATTATTCTCGTGTGGTTTATTATCGAAATTTCACAGTTTAAATGTATCATAAATTCATCAAAGTAGTAATAAAACACTAGAGTTTAAAGTTTTTTTTAAATAAAACAGTTAGGTATAGGCAACCAACATTGCGCTGGTGTATAACGTGTCACCTACCTATTCGGCGTCATTTCCCCTATCTGGTTCTGTTGGATTTGCTGTGCTCGTTGTTTGGCGGCTTGTTTATGGCGTGATAAGGCAAAGAAAAGCGCCAAAATCGCCTTTAATTTTCCATCGCGTAATTCTTGAGCCGAAACATTTTCCAGGCCGGAAACATGTTGTGCTTTTAGAACGCCCAAACACAGGTTGATGTTGTCGAGCTGTAAGAAAAATAATGAAAATGTAAATAAATGATTTGTTTAACATTGTACGAGGCTTTGTTAAAAGAACAAAAAGTGTGATGAATATTCATTTTGTTATTTTGTTATGGAAATAGGACGCATCCACCAATTTTACACATTGAATGATAAATGTAATTTTGATGGAAATGGGTGTTCAGGTAATTTTTAGCACAAAGAGGCGCCAAGTGGTGGCTAATTTTGTATCATATTGTTGTCAGCGGTGAGTTAGGTAGCGGGAAACGCGCTGGTAATAGACCGCGCCTTGCTATTTCTAAATTTTCTTATTATTAAATAATAATTATTCAGAGGTAAAGTGAAGTTTATTGTTAAAACTTAAGTGATCAGAATTTTAATTAAAAAAAACTTAACAAATTTTACTGTAGTCTCAACGCAATTTTTATTGTGTAAATTCCCTAAAATTACACAAAAAGTAAAAGAAAAATTTCGAATTTAATTTTAAAAATTTTTGGCAAAAAAATACTCCACGTTATTATAAAAGTTATAAAGATTATAAAAATTTTAAGTTTTCAAGTTTAGAATTTGTAGAAAAAAAATCTAAAATAACAAAAACGTATTATAAAAATAATTTCAAAAATATAACAATGATAATAATAAATTTCGCAAGTTCAATCATAAGGATTAAATTTCTGATTGAAATAGAAAAAGTTTAAGTTTCCAAACAAAATTCGTTTCAATTTTTTAATATCGAAATTACAATTCCAAGTCTATCAAATGATGAGAATTGCAGTTTTCAAATTCTAAATAACAAATTCTAAATTCATCGAATTTTAAGTTTTAGAGTCAAAACTTCGAATTTCAACGTAAAAAAATTTCTGTTTTTGCATTAAAAAAATGTAACATTTTTGCAACTATAAAATGACGAATCTACAGGTTTCTCAAAAAAATTCATCATCGGTTCTAGAAGTTACACTAGATTTGATCTAAAAATATGTTTTATTCCAAAAATCCTCAAGAAAAAACAAAGATAAGACTATTTTCGGCAAAATTTTTCGCCTAATTTTTGACCAAATTTTGCGAAATATATGAGTTACTAGCCGAAAAACATGCTAAAAAGCTTAAAAAAAACAAATTTATAAAAAGTGATTTTTTTTCGTATAAAAATTAGAATTAGAATTAGAATTAGAATAGTTAAAATTAAGTAAGCAGAATTTTTAATCCATAAACTAAGACTAAAAAAAATAAATAAAAAAAATCTACTCAAAAGTACCAAATAAAACCAAAATTAAAAAAAAAACAAGAAGTCTTAATTTGAAAAAAAATTAACATTAAAAAGTCAAAAATTAAAATTAAGAAACTTAAAAAATTCTTAAAAACAAAAGTCAAATTTATAGCTGCTTATCAAAACTCAGATATGGAAAAACAAATTTCCAAATTTTAGTTTAAATGAAGACTAATATTTGCATTTTAAAAAGTTCTGAAGAGTTCTGAAGAAAGTTCTCAGATTCTCCTATCTATACCGTTTTGGATAATAAGAAAAAGTATATTAATATCCGACTTTAAAGCTAAAAAAATATCAAAATTGCAAAATTTTGTATTTGAAAGTTACATTTTTGTCAATAGGATAAGGAACATAAAATTAGATCAAAATTCTGAGTTTATAAATCACAATTTAGAAATGGAATTTTATCTTTCAAAAACGAATTTCTAAATTAGAGTTTAAATAAAAAAAACCTAAAAATTGCATTTTAAAATTTAGTTCTAAAGAAAGTTTTGAGTTTCTCTTAACTTTTAAGGTTTTTGATAATAAAAAAAGTGCAAAATTATGTTGAAATTCCGACTTTCATGGCAAAAAATATCAAAACTGCAATTTTTTTTATTCGTACGTTAAATGTTTGTCAATACAATAAGAATTACAAAATTAGATCAAAATTCCAATTTTGATTTCAGTAAAATTGTGAAAATTCCATTTAATAAACTATAATAAATTGCATTGATTTTTAATTTTCATAATTACATGGCATTCAAATATTGAAATAAATACACAAATGTTTAGATAATTATCAAGAATTCTAAAAGATAAAATTTGTAATATGTCTCAAGCCCATTGTTTGCACAGCACACTGTCAAACATGCACAAAGCTTAATCCGAGTTGAAAATCAACCTGTTGCAATGCCAATTCACTGTCAGACTCAACAAACATTCAATATTAAGTTTAATGAAACTCGATCCGATAAAGTGGCAACCTTGGGGAATATCAATCTATAATAAATAAATATGGTAACATATCTCACACCCAGTTTTTAAGTGAGTTTATTTTTGTCTGTCTTCCCTTGCGGTAGATCAGTTTCTTAATTTATTATTGTTAAAAAGCGTGTGTTCATTCACTTGTGTTAAAACCCTGACGTCATTTCATTCATGTTAACTTTATTACGACGTTCATAAACAAACATTTCGATTTAGATAAGCCTAAACTAATAAACAATGAAGTATGGATTTTGTACGAAGTCTACTGCAAACTGCAACACGCTATTGCAGATAATTAAATCAGAATTTCGAATATTTCATTTCGTCTAGGTGTCTAAATCGATTAGAAACAGCTGCAGACTTTAATAAATTTTCAGACAATTGCTGAAACGTAAGAAAGAGTGTAGACACACCTAAAGACTCGGTTCTTGTACTTTATATTGGCTGTCATGTGTCAACTACTGCGACAAGCTCTTTATTGTAATTTATGGTCTACTTTACGTTGGTTAGTTTGATAAGAAACGGTTGGTAGTAATTGATTTTTGACATAAAACGTCAATTTTTTAACTCCCACTTTCACTCACTAGTTTTCTTTTTTGTAATAAACTACGAGAATGATATATCGTTTCTAAGTTTTTCAAGCAATAAATTTCTCGGAAAGGCGCAGAAAAAGTAATTTATGTAACACCGGTGAAATATGTAGTTATTGTAAATTATGGTAAATTAATTAAATATTCCACTCTTGTGGTCACTCAATAATCACGAAATAGTTTTTCATGTCTGAAAGAGTTGACAGCCAACATAACCAGTTTAGTGAGGACAGACGACTCACAAAAAGTCACTTTTTGGCTACTCCGTCTGATCTAGTGCATAAAAATTGAAATTTTAATTTTCTGCTTTAAACAATTGCCCAATTTTCAATACATGAAATTCTTAAATTTATGAAAAAAGTAAAACACTGTCAGATTTGGACAACTAATGCACTTCTCAGATTCAGAATTAACTCTTTTAACTTTTATTAAACTCAAAATCTCCACGTTAGGAATTAAAAAATCAAAACCGAAACAGAAATTAGAACGCTGAAACTCAAACACATCATTTTTAAAATTTTAAAGTCAAAATTTCGAATTTATAAATTTGAAATTTTCTATTTGTTAAATTTTCGTTTTGTCACAAAATCCTAACTTCAAAATTGACTAAATTTACAATTTCAAATTTGGTTTTTAGACATTTCGATTAAAAAAAATACACTCCTTTGTAAAATTATGTTTTTATTAAAAATAAGCTTTAAAAAATGTATTAAATAGTAAAAAATATTTTTTTCCGTCGGAAAAGCACATTTGCTTACACCTTGAGACTTATAAGGGGGCGGTTATAACATTACGACTAATTGCACAATTACTTTGCACAGTTGACCACCCCCAAAGCTTTTATAAATTTAAAAATCTTAAGGTGTAAGTAAATGTTCTTCTCTGGCAGAATTTTTTTTTTTTTACTTTTTAGTATTTACTTTTCTTAGTAAGAGCTTATTTTTAAAAAAACAATTTTTAAACATATTTTTTTCCTTTTTAGTCTTTAGTTATTGTTCTGTGAAATTATTTAAGTTTTAATTTTTTTGATAGGTACAGGAATTTTTAATTTCTTTTCGATTTTTGTTTTGGTTTTTATTTTTTCTTTGTTCGTATTTTAGATTTTTAGATATTTTTGATTTTTTGTTTTTGTTGATTTTTAAATTTTTTTGATCTTTGAACTTTTTAATTTTTGTTTTTCTTTTGTTTTAGAGATTCTTTTGATTTTTGTATTTTTCTCTCGAATACCACTCGTGTATTGGTTAAATCCGCAAATTTTTCCTCGTGATTGGCAAAAACGTGTAATTATGTAATTATTCATGACGTTTTTGACAATCACTCGAAAAAGTTTCCGGAAACAATCAATGCACTCGGAATATTATAAGTGAAAATAAAATAAATTTTTTTATTAATTGTTTTGTTTTTTGGATCTCAAACAAGTAATTTTTTAACTTTTAATCTCAATAATTTGAATTTGTGAGCTTCGAAAATATGATTTCTTGGTCTGTTTTTCTCGAATTCCCAATTTTTCCACTCCAAATTTAATTTACTAAATTTACAATTACACTTTTATTAAATTTGGTTTTTGGACATTTACAATTACTTCTATTTATACTGAAATAAATATTCCGATTCCCAAACAGACTTTTACAATATATTTTTAAATTATTTTCTTGTTTTTGAGTTCAGAATTGTAAATTTTAATTAAATTTCAAATTTACAAAATTGATGCTGAGTTATGAGTCCAACTTAGAACTTCAAATGGTTTTCGAACGTTAACAATTTATAACTTTTGAAATTGCTACTTAAAATCTTCATATACAGAATTCTCAAAGAAAACGTTTCGATTGTAATAATAAAAATTCAAGTTTTTAATAATAATAAGCGTTTTATTGGAGATTCATAACATACTCGTATAATAGAAAGTAATAGTGGTAGAAAGAAAAAACAAATTTTTCTTTTTATAATAATTACATTACAGTACTTAGTGTAATTTTGCAAGGTTGGTAGCAGGGTCAATGCCCTATGGTCAGCCGTCAAATTATATAACAATTTTATAATAATACAGGCTGTATTATAAAAAAACGCCCCAAAACATAATTTCATTACTTTTAACGACGTTATAATACTTTTTTGCTCAAAGTTAAACAGTTTTTCCTTATCAATCGTTTGCTTGTCTTAGATAAAATGAAAAAAATGTTTTA